ACTGAGACTCACAAGCCCAGTGATGTGAGTGGTACTGGGTTTGGAACAGGAAGATTGAACACGCATTCTATTGAGGAACAAAGCAAGCTATTTCTAAAATTATTGCCTTGGCCATTGTGAATGCTGTTACTTCTGTTGTTTACATTATCAGAGTAGAATGCGTCATAGAACTTCAATTCTTGCCTTGGTCAGCTACTCTCACTTTGACTGGAAGGAATTTTCACAAGATATCAAAAGGTTGAAATAAGCTTGTCCAAGTTATTTTGTCAAATTGCTCATGTTTTTCCTAAAACATTAGAAAGATTAATGACTACATGTGGGTGTTATAGAGATCGTGAGAGCAAGAGTGTGTGAACCCCTAGGCCACTCAAACTTGAGGGAGGCATAAGAGAAGTTTTGATATCTCTCCCTTTGGTTCTAACTAGTCTCTGCTCCTGCTGCTGGAGACTGTGGATTAGCCTTGTTGGATGTGTGTTGGTTAGGTGGAGCGGTTTAAGAGGAAAGAAGGATCCCCAGCTGCAGAATCATTGATGCATGGCTTGAGCACAGGAAAGCTTTCTGACGAGATGATGGAGTACAGGAAGTATCTATGTACAAGTGACACTTATTTTTCTAAAGCTTTAGAGTCATTAGCCCATAAACATCACAACAGCAATTAAAAAAAAAGAATTGATCATTCATGAATTACCTACTATGTGTCACACTTAACCTCATCACAGCCCACACTGTGGGATCAGTGAGAAGTCACAAACTGGACAAAGAAAGTGGTGCTAAAGTTCCCTAAACCTCCTTGGTAGGCTGACACTGTGAATGTTAAGGAACTGTTTGTAAATGGGAAGACTGTTGCAGCCAGTTTTCAGAATAAAAGTGACAAAAGCCCTGTCGGAAGCTGAAAGCAATGCATACACAGTTCACCTGCTCAGCAAAGGACAGGCATCAGGTCCTTCTTTCTAAACCTGGGAAGCAGAAATCCATCACAGACAGGTTGAGGAACAGTAAAGGGTTGGATCCAACAGCACAGAGCTTTGGGGTCTTCTTGGGTTTATTGTGATCTCTTGAAGCTTTGCCTGGACTCGTCTTTTAAACTTATGCGGCTGTGGAATTGGATGTGGGGATTGCAAAAATAAATGATAATGGCAGAAGTTTCTGAATACACAGAAACTGAAGTTTACTCAGAATCAAACACAATGAGACCAAGTTTGTAGCCGTGCGCACCTGTACTGTGACACATGACTTTGCTGTCACTTTGATTCTTAGCACAGTAGTACACAGTGGAGTGTGAGTGCCATCATGCTACAAAACACCAATGAACGCCCAACAAACACCAAACACCCGACCTCAGATTCCAGACTCCTGTCCGTGATGAATTGCAGTGTTTCTACACTACACAAAATAGCTCCTGTTCTTACAGAAATATGAAGTTTTAGTTATGGAAAACAGGGGGCTTTTAATATTTTCCACAACACATAAATTTCAAATTAGTATGTCTCCAGATCATATTGTGTTAAAATGTTTGAATCTAAAGATTGTTTGAATTGCTGAAATAGAGGTTTGTGAAAAATTGTGAAGTGATTTGTTTTTTTGTTGTTGTTGTTTTGTTTTTTTTTTTTTTTTTTTGCCTTGGGACCAGTTTAGAATTTTGTTTGTTTTTTAGTTTTTTTGAGATAGGGTTTCTCTGTGTGTAGTTTTGATTGTTCCTGAACTCACTTTGTAGATTAGGCAGGCCTCGAACTCACAGAGATCTGCCCGCCTCTGCCTCTGTGCTGGGATTGAAGGCATAGGAGATATTTTTTAAAGTTGGATCCTTAAAGTTCAGGAGATTTCCTGCTGGCCCTTAAGATGAAGATGAGAAAGAAAATTCTTTTCATTTTGTAGACTCAGTTCTCTGTAATAGCTTTGCTAAAAGTTAGTTCATGAGTCTTTAAAAAAAAAAAAAACCTTGATTAATTTAGGTTCCACCTTTTAAAGCCAAATAAGTACTTTTGAAATATAATGACCATGTATCTTAAATCTTGGCTCTTATATTGAATGTTAATGTAAATGTCATACCTTCTCAGCTAGAGCCTGATCATAAATATCCAGACCTGTAGTGTAGGCCTGTAACCTCAACCACCTGGTAGAACAAGCCTGGAGCATCGCAAGTTCAAAGACTGCCTGGGCTACGGAGTGGGTTAAAGGCCAGTGTGTGAAAAGTTAGGAAGATTCTAGGTATTCTATATTCTAAAGAATCTATGCTCAATCCCTGGGATCTTAAAACCAAACCAAGGCAAAACACAAAAACAAACAAACGAAATCCCTCCCCCATTTGCTAGTAGTCTTTCTTCTATAAACTCCCCAGGAAAACTGTTAACCTCCCACCAAAATGTACAGTGCAAAAGAAATGTAGAAACTTTGCTCCTTCTCATAGGCTTTTAAACTTCCATCTGGGGAAAGAAAACATTTTGCTTCAACCAAGAACTATGTATAGATGGGAGAAATTCCCTAGTGAACATATTTAATAATGAATATAATTTTCAAAAGATAGAAGAGATGATATGTTTGATCAGTTATAGTCAGTGAATGATTCCTGTTAGGACTGTGTTAAAACCCTTCAAACCTTGTCAACCAGCCATGCAGGCCCCTGTCCACTAGGAGCTCGGCCATTCATAAGCAGCTAGGGACCTGCTCGCCAGAGCATAGTTCAGTCCTCCAGTGGAAATGTCCACAGCACTCATGTTGTAGATATGCAGAGCACTTTGGAATATGTTATTTGATGAACATCTAGTGTAGACTTTCACACATGGTGAGAATTTCTGCTAGAAAACATCCCCTAACTTTTCAGTTCCTATAGGCAGTGACCCTGGCCCTCTGTTCTTGAGGATGCTGATTTCATCATTGATTTTGAATGTGAGATTAAATTCTCGGAAAACAGGAAAACTGTTCTCTATAAATGCCCAGTTCTGTTCCTGCCACTCTACTGGAAAAGCCCTTTACTTTCTTTCTAATAAAAATTAGGGTCAATTCACATGAAGGCAGGGGATACATCAGCTGGTCATAATGAGATCTGGTGTTCAGACTCATGATGCAATGGCCCTTCATCTGGGCTTCACTCCCAAACAACACTGTCAGAGAGCTGACTGGAAGAGACAGTGCTGAACTCTAACTTGTTTATCTAGTCAGTAAATGTTCCATTGCTGGCTATGTTCCTGCCACTGTTATGAGAATAAGAAAGGGGACAACATAGATAGCAATTTGTATCCTTAAGAAACTTATAGTCTAAATGATGGGGACAGATGAGGAAAAACAAGACACATAAAGAAAATTGAATGTGTTAGATGGTGAAAATTGTCAAGAAGAGAAATCAGGCAGGGCTGGGGGGGGTGCTCTTGGGAGACTGTGGAATTGTGGGTAGGGTAGCAAAATGACTGAATTGCCAATCAGGTGAGAGGCAGGAAATTCAGATGTGGGGTAAGAATCCCAGAAGCTGAACCATCATGCTAGGCCAATAATATGGTTGCCATGTCAAGCAGTAGGCAGACAGACTGGAGAACCCAGGACAGAAGGAGGGCAGTAGTGTGGAATAGAAGGAAAGATTGGGGAAAAGGAAGGGTGTAGGGTCTCTGGCATCAGGGAAAGAGGGCTGGGTTTCCTCTGAGTAAGGCGTATTCTTTTCCTATCACAGAGTCGGTTTTTTCCTAGTGACAGGTCCTCTGGATTTTTCTGTAGCAGTGACTTTCGTGCCTGAGTGACAGCTTACCTAGTGGAAAACACAGTGTTCTGCCTTTCAGAACTTTGTTGAATTTGCACCAAGTGTTTTGGAATTGCTTCTGTGGAGACGCTGGAGACAAACTCATTATCTGTGCTTTCTGAATGACTTGTTTCTAATGCCCAACTGCCTGGATAGATAACATTCAAGTTTAGGGACCTGCCTTGTAGCAAGCGTTCAGTATTTTCCCCAAAGAACGTAAGTTTTACAGCTGATTCAACCCTCTCTTCACTGCTAGGTATTTTTCTGTCTTCTGTTCTCTTCTGAAAATCAATTATTTTTGTGTAGCATCACCAATCTCTACATTCCAAGTTGTGTTGTAGTTGCTGGGATTTATGGAATTTTGATGTGGAAGTCCCCTCTGTGTGCTATGATTATCATTCATAAATAAAGAAACTGCTTTGGACCTATAGCAAGGCAGAACTTAGGTAGGCAGGGAAAGCTAGACGGAATGCTGGGAGAAAGGAGGCAGAGTCAGGGAGATGCTATGGAGCCGCTGCTGGAGATAGACATGCTGAACCTTTAGTGGTAGGCCACGACCTCGTGGTGTTATACAGATTAATAGAAATGGATTAAATTAATATGTAAGAGTGAGCCAACAAGAAGTTAGAGCTAATGGGCCAATCAGTGATTTAAATAATACAGTTTCTGCCGGGCGATGGTGGCGCACGCCTTTAATCCCAGCACTCGGGAGGCAGAGGCAGGCGGATCTCTGTGAGTTCGAGACCAGCCTGGTCTACAGAGCTAGTTCCAGGACAGGCTCCAAAGCCACAGAGAAACCCTGTCTCGAAAAACCAAAAAAAAAAAAATAATACAGTTTCTGTGTGATTATTTTGGGGTTGAGCGGCCGGGAAAAAATGAGCGGCCTCCCCCAACAGGGTTTGCTCTGTTTTCCTTACAGTGAGCTATGTGGTGGCCTTAATTCTATTTCTGGCAGTGTGTATTCTGTTGTTGATGCTTCTAATTTATTAATTACTTCTTCCTATTAATATCTTCTTTAATATTATCATTTTTACTTATGTATTTTTGTGGGTCCTGGAGTCTTCTAAAATGCCTTCTAGGGCTTTTATTCTAGATCCTTTTCAGTGATTTCATGTCCTCTTTCAATTCCCTTTATAGAGAATGTTTATTCCTTAGATTTTCTTTGTTTCAGAATATATTCCATCTTTAAAATCAGTACATTGCTTTTATTACTCTGCTACAATCAGATGAAGTGTGCTTGAGCCCTTGAATTCTTGTTACTTGTCCATGATTCAAAAATATAGAATGCTTCCTGAATTTGTGTGTTATTCTTGGGCAGGGGCCATGTTAATCTTCACGATATTGTTCCAAGTTTTAGTGTAGGTGCTGCTGAAGTGAGCACCAGACTAGATTCTTAATTATACTTTTTATCCTTTGTTCCTTCATTTGATGACTAGCCCTATGCAGCCTCACTTATCCATACATGTGACTATATCTGTAAGTATAATCATTTGTGTTTCTGCCCTCGGCCTTAGCTACACATGTGTAGCCAGCCCATTGTTGTTTCCTCTAATGCTGTAGAAGTACTCATTCATGCATTAATCATCAAATCAGTTCAGCAGCTAGTTATCAGATACCTAGTAAGTGCCAGATACTATTTCGTATACTCAGGGCAAAACAGGTTATGTCTCTGCAGTTTCCATTGTAATGGAAGGAGACCAAAAGTCAACGATAAGCATATATTGACTCACTATTTAATATGGCAAAATGTGTGATAATGCCTACTGATTATGTTAGCATTGGGCATTTTGAAAAGGTGTTTGGGAAGGTCGGATGGATTTTCTTTTTACAGGAGAACCATGGTTATTTTTCACATTTAATGTTAGGTTGCCACTCTTCTCTGCAAGTTCCCCAGGAACTTTTCTTTCCTTATCAGGATCATGCGACCTTCAGAGGTTCACATGAAGGCTGGGGTACCTTGTAGATTGAGTAGGGAGACAGAGAAATGGATCAGTTTGGACCATGGGCGGGCAAGTCTTCATTGTTCTGTATGCTTTAGGTATGGTTTGAGTAGCTCCTCCCAAACTTCATGTGTTATAAGCTTGGTTCTTAGTGTCACTGCACTGATAGACATTTGCAGGGAGTAGATGGGGCTTAGTATGAGGTGCTTATACCTTTGGGTGCTACCTTGGAAGGGGTTGAGTTCTTGTGGGATCCTAGCAAGTTACCTTGGAATAGGGATAAGACAAACCCTTCCTATCTTATCTGCCTTATCATGTGCATAGCTATCATTGCAGCATCATCTTCATTAAGCCTTCATCAGAGGCCAAACAGATCAGGCCACTATGTTGGCTTTTTAGCTTCCAATAATGGAGTTAAATGGTCTTTTCTCTACAGCTCTTTTGCTGTGGCAACAACAACTAAGTAAATGGATCTGGTGAGGGTGTGAAGAGCTCTCCATACTCTTCAGCCTGTTCTGAGGGGAAGGGCTTTCTTATATAGCTGTCTCCTTCATTGACTCTAGAGTTATGTTTGAATTTGTTTGGTTTTGTGAAATGGCAACGGTCCTGCCTTCCTTCTGAGTGGGAGGCCAGGACTCAGATGCTCTATACATGGCATTTAGCATTGGCTTCATAAAGGACAAATGGATAGATAACAATTTCCTCATTTTAAAAACAGTCCAGGGTAAGAGAGATGATCTTCATTTTGGTGTGTAAGAAAATAAAATATGAGTCTTATTATTGTTTGTGCTTTTGAATGACCACCTTCTTTGTGTTAGAGTCACATAACACAAAAAGGTAGGCATCTGTACATAAACCTGTGTGCCTTTTACACAGGAGATACTTTCCCAAGTGTGTGCAATGGTTTAAAACTTACTTTGACTATTCTTCAACCTTAGAACTTGGGGTATTCTTTCTTCTTATTTTGATCCAATGCCCGGATCTGAAAGGCTTCCCATCCCTTACAAATGTTTTCCCTTTTCTTTTTCTGCTCACCGTAGAACACTGTGAAGTTTTGCATGGTGCAGCTGCAGACTCTGGATTGCCCTAGATTTTGGCAATTCAAAATGAAGGTCCAACTGTAACCTTAGCTTTGCCTTCTCGAAGGGTTACAGCAGCCTTTTGTCATGTGATCACCTTGCCCAAAAGATCTACATTCTGTACCGCTTAGCTGTCACTCCACTTGCAAAACCCTCTTTGAAATCAGTGTGTCTCAGGGTATGAAGAGGCCAGGCAGCACGTAGGAGAATTAGATTCCATGCATTCCCATCTACAAAACGACACACATATGCATTTCTTACCTTCTAAGAAAAGCTTAAAAGGCCACAGCTTAGCTACCTGATGGTGTCTTCTGAAGGAGCTATCAGAAGAAAGACTGTGGGCTCTGCCATTTATGTAAGTCACATCCTATGCCATGTCACTAACTCATATATAGTTGTTGGATAAAAGCCTACATTGTACAGGAAAGGTAACCTTGTGAAAATGACAAGCGTAGGCTTTCTCCGTGTTTTATGCAATTAAAATGTTAACCTTGACATTATACTAGCCCCTCAGTTTTCTTTATGTGTCCTTCAGTTTGCAAACCTGAGGAACTTTTTTTTCCTGGTGTGTGTGAAGTATCTACACGGAGGCACTATTTTTTCCTGTTGGGGACAATTTTATGAGTAGTCACGGGGATTAGTTGTCCCGGGTGAGAGCATTGACTTTTGTCTGAGATTTTCTTCAGCATCTCTATTCCTCCACCTTTCCAGAAACTTTACCCCAATCCTAGCCCACCTCCCATGCTACTGAGTGATCTGTTGGATGGAGAGGGGGACAATAGTGAGGGCCCACCCTTGTAGCTAGCACCAAACTGGCAAATAGGATCTCTATGGTATCTCTTCATTCCTTGATTGGTCCCTCTTTCTCCTTGGAGAACCTGAGACTCCCAATTTTCCTCAAATGAAGCAGAGTCATCTTATTCCTCTCCATACTTTGTGTCCTGCCATTGTTATCATCTTTAAGTAGGTCCTCGTTCTTGTCTACACAAGAGAAACACCCAAAAGGAGGGTAGGTAATGCAGAAAGTACCTTTTAATGAGTGGCTGTGACAGGCCATCCTCTCAGAAAGCTTTCAACAGGTGGTGAGACGGGAGGCACAGAGTCCTTCAGTGCCCCTGCAAGATGTGGCCCCTCAATATCCATCTGATAGCTAGTTTACTGAGATTCTCCAAGTACAGTTGACTGTGTGTGTGTGTGTATGTGTGTGTGTGTCTGTTCTGGTTCTTATTTCTTTCCCTACCTCCAGCTCTTCTCTTTGTTAAGGCATTAGTTTGGCATTGGCTGTGGGCATTTGTAAGAACACTGGTTGGGGTTGTATTTGGTACTAGTTTAGTGGTGTATCTTTAAGCTAGTACTAGATATCTTGGTAAAGGAAAACACTGAACAATATTTTTACCACACATCTTTGTAATGCGGACAGGCATCCCAAGGTGGCTCCTGTCTCTGGAGGATGGTGGGTAGTAGTGGAGGCAGCATTTGAACGTGCAAACCCAGAAACTTGAGTGTAAAAAATTATTTCTTCTATGACAGCTCTAAACTCCAGCCCATCATGATACTAGGGATTGAAAAGAAGATTAATCACTATAGAAAGATCCTTCAGAAATTTCTATAAACACTGATATTACATAATCTTTGTTACCCGAAGAGGCATTTGAAAGGTAGTAACCAAAACTAGAGGCAATGTTGAAGAGTATGAGAGGTTGTGTGGTGGATTTTGTGATGTTTCTGGCTCTTTCAACTATTTATTTATTTATTTATTTATCAAGACAGGGTTTCTCTGTGTAGCTTTGGCTGTCCTGGAACTCATTCTGTAGACCAGGCTGGCCTCAAACTCACAGTGATCTGAAAGCCATGTGCCACCACTGCCTGGACTCTTTCAACTTTTAAATTTCTGTTTTGCTATAATTTTCCATAACCCTGCAAATACCTAATACCTAATAATTTTGAAGGATCCAAAATTATATAAATTTTGAGTTCTAAAACTCTAACCTGCCCGTACAGAAAGAATATGATTTACTTAAGTAAATAAATAATTTAATTAACAAAAAGATATTTTAAAAGGTGATCAACTGCTACTTATATTTTTATATATAAATTAGTAACAGGCAACATTTATTTCTTTTTGAGTATACCCACCATACAGCCAGTATAGCCAGTAGTCTTGCTGTGTTAGCCTTAACACAAGGGCCATAGGGATGGCAAGCCTAATCTGAACTCTAGTCTTCTTAAGTCACTTCAGGTCTTCGTGGAGCTTGTTCTTCAGATAAGGTCCCAGAACTTGACTCTATTTACTATCCTGTTCATCTTTCTGTTTTGTTTAGTTTTTCAGGAAATGATCCGGGATTCTGCATAATGTCGATCACATGTTCCACTTTGTCCTCGTTGAGCTTTCCAGCCTTCTTGGTGAGGTCAGTGTATCCTTTTCCTGATACCACATGAGCCACCTTTTCCCACACCCCTAGTGGAACCAATGACAATGACTATCGTATGCTGCCTGTGGATGATGCTGCTATTCTCAGGGATCACTACTGACATGGTGGCAGCATCATGTGACACACGGTCCTCCCATGGAAGAGCTTTCAACTACCTTAAGTGCATCTTAGGAACTGTGGAAGTTTATTCTTCTGAACCCCTTTAAGAACCCAGATCCATATCTGTGCAGCCATTATTTCATGGGTCTGTTGGACATCTGAATACCCTCACATAACTCATTAAGATTTAAGAAGTACTCAATAAGAGTAATTCTTGCTAAATTACTTCTTACAGATCCCTTCAAAATGCCCCCCAAACAAGAACCAAAACTGTATAAGACACTTAAATTGAACTAGAAACTAAAGGAGCAAGCTTAAAACAACTTGAAAGGAAATAGCAAATAAAAAAGGCCTTGTGGCATGGTGATTGGACGCCATCAACTCCAGTTTGACAGAAGTTCCCCAGCTCAATGATCAACATGAAAAATTAAACTTCATGCATGATAATAGCTTGAGCGAATAGCATCCCTTTCTGTTGTGATTTGATATGTGAGCTCTCAGCTTTTCCTGTTGCCACATCTATTGCCTGCTGCCACAATTTCTTGCTATGATAGACTCATATCCCTCTGTAAAAGTAATGCCAAATGAACTCTTTATTTGATAAGTGACCGTGGTCATGGTGTTTTATCACAGCAGTAAAAAAGTAACTGGTACAGAAAAGTGTGTCCCAGGCAGTGACCTATTGCTATGACAGTCCTGACCATGCTGTTGTTTGGAGGGATGTGGAAGACTGGAACCTTGGACTAGAAAAGCAACTGAATGCTGTACCTTAACAGGCATTTTTAGTAGGATCAGGAAGCCATGCTGAGAGCAATTTGTACTGGAATCTCA